TGTCAAGGATATTTTTTTTTTTAATTTGAAATGCAACAAATTGCTAAGCGCACGTGGTAACCAAAGTAAATTATGAAAATCTTGGAAAGAAGACACGGTTTTAGTGACCATCCCGTGATTCTTTATCTCGGAGAAAACTCGTTTTAGATTAAAGTATTATAAGAATATCTCCTATTAAACTTTAATGTTGACAATTGACTCAATAGTAACGCAACCCCACATTAAATGTGAATGCGTCAAATATAAACTATCATTTCTTTCAAACATATGCACAAAATACTCTTGATATTACAATGAGTTTGACGATGTTTTATCCATCAAATCAAGTGAAGATTCCGATAAGATAATGTTTGATATACAGTAGTCATGAATGTCTTTATCCTATTTCATATATAACATTTACATGGTTAAATTAAACATGATAACCCAGTCCAATAATACATGACATGTATTTTATGAAAACTAATTTATTTGAAATAGTGAATCCGATCTAAATGATTATATGTTAGTCTTATGCATATATCTTTCTGAAATAGTTAAATTATTTTTGAACACATTTTCACTAAAATTTTATTTCGTCATCTTATGATACGTAGTTGTGTCTTTTTAGATACTTTTATTTCATAATTTTGTATTTACTGCTTTTGTTTATTTGCTTGCTTATTTTTCGTTTTTTAATTTAATTTTTATTCTCTAAAAATATAAAAACATGCATTAAAATGAACATTTGCTATAAAATTTAATATAATTTTTTTTGTTTTGATGATGTGGACATCCTAAATGGAGAGAAAACTTCCTAATTATATAATAGATTAGACAACTTTCCAAAGTTGTTTTAGTAATTAATCCTAAATTATTCTTATTAATTTTACGTGACTAGTCAAAACTATCAAAGCGCTTCCATCGACCGGAGTCTCATGAAATCAAACAATTTTACTTTTGAGTTATTTAAACGATGGTATGTGATCTACCAAGTCATATGTTTCCTAGCTTGTATGATTAGCATGTAATAAATCGTAAGATTTTTTTGGGCCGAGAGAAGTCATGCTCTGTTTCCTACCACCAAATGACAAAGGTTAGCTCTTACACCAAAGAGCAAAACTTTTTGAAAGAGAAAAGGCGAATGTGATTGAAGTATTGCCAAACGATAGAGACAGAGATTCTCCCTTCTTTGATATTTACTCTTGTTTGAGAACATTTTAATCAAAACTAACGGTTAAACATTAC